GGCGTTTGTCGGAACAGAACGCCGTTTTTTTTCGGCGTTTTGAATAATTAAACGGCGTTTTTTACGCCATTTCTTAACCAAACGGGTTAGGAAAGTGGCGAATTTTGGCACTAATGGCTTGCCATACGCCTGCATTAATTATCTGCGGCTGATATTTTAAAAGGCGAGAGAGGTATCGTCTCCTGCGCATGCGTCTGCAGGCGCGATCTGTGCTGATGTCGCATTCAGGTTCTTCACATAAGCTCGTACACGGAGGCTTCGTCTTGCCTTTGGTCCACCAATAACATCTATTAATAGACTCTTACATAGTAAATGGAAAAAATTGCCCTTTCTTCCTCTTATTTCAGTCTTTTGTCGTGTCTGTTTATTTGTTAGCAGCAATGTCATACGTTCTGTTTTCAAAAATATAAGTCACACTAGGTTTACAACAAACCAAACAACATAATAACGATATTGCCAGCGATTTTGCCCCTCCCCCTCCAAAAAAGACTAGACTCTAAGGGGGCAACTGATGTACTTGTCTTTGATGTTGTCAAGGTCAAGAACGACCAATCAAGTGCATACCTTTGTATGTAAACAAAACAGATTACTCTTTGGTTTGTTAATAGTAAATATGAAACAACTATTTATGAAAAGAGTAATGTAAATATAACAGAAATAAAAACAATAAAGACGATTTCACATTTTCTAATACTAGGAATGGCCTACTAGTAGGACATTCTCCCACAGAACCTAAAGGCAGCAAAGTACATCTCCACGATCCCTGCTGTCCCCAGAACACAGAGCCGCTACACTCCAGGTGGAATGGACGTATTCTCTGCTACTCTCGTTCTCAGTCCGCCAGAGCCGCGGGGAAAGCCAGGCCCGACATGACAGCGTCTGCACGGGACAAGAAATTCTGCCAGCAGTCGCGGGTAACGGTCCGTCCGGAGACGGTGTGGGCTGCGGGTCGCTACATCGCGCTGGCCGCCCTGTGTATCCTGTGCTATAGCAACTCTCTCCACGGGGAGTTGGTGCACGACGATGTGTGGGCTATCGTCAACAATCCGGACGTCCGACCTGGCTCCAGCCTCAGAAACATCTTCAGCGACGACTTTTGGGGCAAGAGGATGGCGGACAACACGAGCCACAAGTCTTACAGACCGCTGTGCATCCTCACCTTCAAGTAAGTTCTCGGAACTCAGCCTTCCCGCCTTACCTGGAGCTCTGAACAGCAACACTTAGTGCTAGTCGTTCTGCTGGATCGACAGCTCCGCGATGTAAACGCGTGTTTCGGGCTGACGTCATCCAGCTGTCCCTCGTAGGGACGGGCTGCTGTAGCGAAATGCTCAACTTTGCAATAGCCGAACGCTGCTAACCCCGGCTATGTGCCGATACCAGGCAGGGTCTTCTCGGGAGGAATGTTACAGCGAGAGTCTCGCTTCCAGTTCTTTCTATGCAGAGTTGGAGCGTGCAGAGCAGCTTGTCTCAGCACATCCAGCCCACGTTACTACTTTGATTCAAGTTTCACGTATCGCACAGACATCTGTGGAACCTGTTGCGCAGGTTTTTAGGTGCTTGAAGTCTGGTGGTGTAGTTGGAGGTGTACTGTATGGGTGGAGATGTAGTAGTGGTTGGAGCTGTTTTGGAGTGGGCTGGTCTGTTGTGCTCGGGTCGTCGATGGATGGAAATAGCGAGGGTGGGGAGTACCCAGTCGGGCTTCCTTAACAGGGTGGGAATGTCTGATAAGGAAGAGCATAATGAGTAAACAGTCCGCACAATGGCCTCCAGATAAATGCTCACCTATGTTTCCATCATTCCCCACGTTTCCTCCTCATTAGGCAGTTTGTTAGTTACAGAGCATGGCTGTTGCGAGACATAAAGCTCTGGTGGGATACGATGGGCCATTAATCAAATCAGACATTTTATTCCAGCTCTCATAGTGAGTGTGTGTTTGTTTGTTTTTTTAGTTTTTTTTTTTAAGTTTTCCGTGTCGGTAAGCCAGCAGCATTTCAAAAGTTAAAAAAAGTATTTCCCAAATACTCCAGTCCAGGTCTCCCCTGCAGAATTGCTTTTCCATTCGTCGTGAGCACGCGCTGGGCTCTCCAAATCACGGACAAACAGTATCTCACAGTTGTTTATGTTTTTGAACCCATTTTGCAAAGAGAGGATTTTTTTTTTTTCTGAAAAATGCATTGATAGCAATGTTGAATATTATAAGATAAGATAACCTTTATTAGTCCCACATGTGGGAAATTTGTTTGTTATTACACAGGAAAAAAACAACTACACGTAAAATAATTAGGCCTCTGCCTTTCTAAATGGAGGGACAGTAACTGCGTGTGTATATGTAAGCTAGGGGTGCAACATACACAAAATTCACGGTTCGGTTCGATACTTTGGTGTCACGGTTTGATTTTAATGTAATTCTAATTATCATTTTATACTATTTTATGTTTTTGCTATTTGTGCTGATTTTATTACTTTAAATGTCATTTTAATATATATGGCAATTAAGTCCAATATGGCAATATGGGGTGATCGTGGCTCAAGAGTAATCGAAAGGTTGCCGGTTCAAACCCTGTTCCAACAGTCTCGGTTGTTGTGTCCTTGTGCAAGACACTTCACCCATTGCCTACTGGTGGTGGTCATAGGGCCCAGTGGCGCCAGTGTCTGGCAGCCTCACCTCTGTCAGTGCGCCCCAGGGTAGCTGCAATGTAGCTTGCCATCACCAGTGTGTGAATGTGTGTGTGAATGGGTGGATGACTGAATGTGTAAAGCACTATACAGGCCATTTACCACTTTTATAATCTTATATTTTTTAACTTATTGTATCATTTCTGGCATGTCAAGTGTACAGTCGTTCTGAAAGTGCTATATAAATAAATTGCTTGCTTGCTTAATTAATAATTTAATGGTGTATTTAATTAATTAATTATGGCAGTCCTGGTGTTCCATAGAGCAGTGGTTCCCAAACCTTTTTCACTAGACCCCCCCCCCGCGCACAAACACATCCTCCAACCACACACACCCATATTTTGCTCCATTGCAGTTTATTTCACACCTCAAACATTTAGTAAACAATTAAGCAAATACAAGTAATCTGCAATAAATTACAGGTAGTAAGAAAATAAACTACTAACTCTTTTACGCTACGTCCACACCTACACGGGTATTTTTGAAAACGCAGCTCAAAAACGGAGTTTTTAAAAACTCGTTTTTTAAACGCGTTTACTTGTGGGACGAGGAATATAGAGTTCTTCACGCAACGTCAAATGTATGTGCCTTTTTTCACGTCACGCTCTGTGCCACGTTATTGTTTATACGAGATGAATTGCAGAATGGCAGATAGTCAGATTAACAGTATTTTGTCTCTATCTTCAGGTTTTACACGCTTACATTAGGGGTGCAACAATACTCGTATCGATATTGAACCGTTCGATACAGTGCTTTCGGTTCGGTACGCATATGTATCGAACAATACAACTTTTTTTATTTATTTTATCAACTTTTCTTCTGACGATGCTGTCTGTGTTGAGCGCTCAGTGGATCTGCGTTTGACTACTCCGCCTAGGCTGCACTGTCGAGTGCAGATCCACTGAGCGCAGCGCAAGCTAGCAAGACAGAAGCTAAGCTCGTTGCAACATGGCAACTGCCTCAACGCTACCCGAAATTGAACCTCCCCCACCCTCATTCAGATCTGGCGTTTGGAACTATCTTGGTTTTCATGTGAAGCATGACCCTGATGGTAAGCGCGTCATGGACAAAAGTAAAACAGTATGTCGGATGTGCCACGCAATGCTCAATTGGTGGGAACTAGTGCGTTAGCGCAGTTAGCTTGTTGACGTCGTCCAGCCCTAAGCACGGGAGGATCCACGGTAACTTGTTAACGGAGATTTGCTGTGTTATGGCGTTAAAGTCATTTTAACGAGATTAACGCTGACAGCACTAGTGGGAACACAACGAATATGACTGCACATTTACGCCGACATCATCCTAGTGCAAAGACAAGTGGAAGCAGACAAAATAACAAGCACGCATGCTACAAACTTTACCCGAGTCATTTAGACAGCCGTTAGCACATGATTCTCCTTATGGGGACCTGATATGTTTAATATGCTGCTGAGAATATAGCCCAGAAGAAGCGTATAGTATAGCTTTTATTTTGGAAAGAGCCATTTCTCTGTAATAAACTCTCTTTTCCAAAGATGAGTGATTTCTCGATCAGATAGATTTATTTTTTTTATTATTTTGTTGTTTCAGCAACATTAAATTTAAAAACTGTACTTTTGAGTTAAAATATATATTTATAATTTTAATAAATGACAAATTAAAAAGGCATGAACATTTTTTTGTATCGAAAAAATATCG